CTTCACACCACAAGTTTCCTTCTTGTGTCTCTGTAAAGCTGGGATTACAGACATGTACCACCATGCCCCAAGGTAATTAGTTAATTGAAGGGTCTCACTATATAGCTCATGCTGGCCCTGAGGACAAAATCCTCTCCTGTAGCCTCCCAAAGTCCAGAATTACAAGTTCATATTACTGTGACCATGAGATATCTTTCTGGAAAATTCAGTATTTAAAATGCTACTGAGATGTTGGAGAAAATACTTCCTCTTGCCATTAATGCCCCTGAGGTAGTAAAACAAGTTTTTCAAAGAAAGAGTAAAGTGAAAAGAGATATAAATAGCCAGCACTCAGTAATACCCAGGAGACTACAGCAGAAGGATCTGGAACTTCACACTAGCCACAGTTATAGGCAGAAGCCCTGTAAAGAAAAGAAAGAAAGAAAGAAAGAAAGAAAGAAAGAAAGAAAGAAAGAAAGAAAGAAAGAAAGAAAGAAGAGAGAGAGGGAGGAAGGGAGGAAAGGAAGGAAGGAAGGAAGAAAGGAAGGAAGAAAGGGTGAAAGCAAGGAAGAGGAGAGACAGGAAGGAAGGAAAGGAGGAAGTAGAAAAAAAGAATGGGATAGATATATGAGAATATTTATTATGTACAAATGTTATCTGACACATCTCAAATACAAATACACAATGTCCTCATTAATGAATTCTCATTTGAGCTTCTTTGTGTTATATATTGCCTCAATAATGCTTCATAACAAACTTTCTTGAATACTTAAAACAGTAAGTATTTATTTAGTTCACTACAAGCTCATGATTTCAAATGGGTTAGCTGGGAGGATCCCAGCTGGATTTCCTTTTGGCTAGAAGAAACAATGTAGAAAATGATAACATTTTGATTGGGAAATACAAACAGATAGAAATGAATCCAAAGAACACTATAATGTTCAACAGAGCAGCTACTAGAAGTAATAGTAGAATTAAAGAAGTACTATTTCCTCCAGAGTAGGGTACATACTCTTCTGTTGTTGCTCTTGAACTCACATTTCAAGATTTTTGACCTTTGCAGTCTGGGCCCTACACCATTAGTCCTCTGGAGACAGTGAGGTCTTTGGCCTCCTACTGGAGACTTCCACTGGCTACTCTGTTCTGAGGCTTTGGGCTGCTGTGACTGAGTCATTGCTTTTGGCTTCTGTGGCTGTCTAGCTTAAAGATGGATAGTCATCAAGGAACTTTTCAATCTCTGATTGTGTTGCTGTGACAAATACTCAATAGCAGCTGAAGCAATTTCCCAATATTGTGTGCATGTGCGTATATAATGTAAAATATATACTCTCTCTCTGTGTGTGTATATATATATATGTATATATATATATGTATGTATATATATATATATATATATATATATGATGCTGCTATAGTTGCAGAACTCCACTTAATACAATCACCAAAAAATAGTTTGCTTCAGAGGATACAGTTGCCCTTAGTCATATATTATCCTTAGGCATACAGTATTGGATAAATATGCATATACCTGACAAAGGTAAGTAGGAGAAAGGACATCAAGGAAGAGAAGGAAGAGAAGGTGGGCCTCAAAGGAATGTTGAAAGCAGCAGCATTGTCCAGATGGGCATGGCACTCTATGGTATTGGATTCTGGCCAGCAGTGGGGCATGAGGAGAACACTAGAGAGAGTTACAAAATGAACAAAGAAACATTTGAGTACTGGATATTGTACAAATCCCAGCTTCTTCACAAAAACATGTGAAAGCAGAAATTTTTGAGTGTAAAGTGCATTTTTTCAGAGCTAATGTAAATTTTCCTGCACGTTGTCCAGTGTTAACATCATCCATGATGTTAACTACCTATTAAGAAGCAATGAAAACCACCTCTCCAAAACACCACCATAGAAAATATACATAGAAAATAGACCCTGCCAGATTCCTCTGGGATGCAAAATTGTCCCAGGTTGAGAATCACTGGGTTAGTGTATTTGATGGCAAGTTATTCTTAAAACATAGTAACATAAAGCAATAAACATTTATTAATTCATCATTTCTGTGGGCAGGAATGTGAGAGAGATTTAGCTGGCTCAAGGTCTCTGATGAGGTCTCTGAAGGCTTGAAGGATCCACTTCTATGATGAGTTTGTCACTTGTGACTGGCAGGAGGCCTCAGATACTTGCTGGTTGTGGCAAGATGCTTTCGTTCTTCATTCTGTGGTGGTTGTTCCATGTGACCTTGCCAATGGTAGCTGCTAATGATCTGAGAGTGTGGAAAGGACCACAATACCTTTTCATAAACTATTCTTGGAAGGGACACTTCTGCATTAGTATATATATTACAACCAAGTCGCTGACTGTAGCCCACACTCACTTGAATGAGAACAGCTTTGATTTGTGAAGGAAGGACTATCAACAAACTTATAGACATATTTTACTATCATTTATAGTTATGAGAAAGATTCTTTAATAAATAGGCTAGGGAAAACCAATGAGCTCCTTGGAGAAAAGAAAAGACCATCATTCCAAAACAAATCCTAAAGGATTAAATTATTTCACAACATCAAAGAATGTGAATTGTCAAGCAGAAACAAAAGGCAGATAAATATTTGATCTTGGGATGTGAAGTAAAACCAGAAAGCAAAAAATGAATAATACTAGAAGTTTACATATAATCAATATCTCCATGAAATATTAAATACTCTTGTGAGCAGTCCAGAAAGAAAAGGGACAATGAGGGACAAATAATAAGATATAATAATCACTCATATGAAATGAAAATACACCATGATCACTTGCAGGCATAGTAGAGAATCACATTTCTTCTCATATTGTGCTATGGGAAAATTAGTAATAACAATAAATTATTGCTTATGTACCATGTGTTAGATAGCTACAAGCATTTTATTTGTAGCAAGTTATTTTCTTACTACTAAACACCATGTGATATGGCTATACTAGTGTTTTAGCTGAGGTACCTTCTAATTTAGTAAACTAGCCAAATCTTGTAGCTTGTAGGTGACAACAGAGTCAGCTTAATATCAATCCATTTGTCATAATACAAATGTAATCAGAATATAGAATTTGCAACATTAATTTGTGGAGGAAAAGGACCACAAACACAAAAATGCCTGAGACCATGCAAGTCAGAGCTGAATTTTGATCCTGGGCTCTTCCCTGGAAGACAACTTGCCAAAGTGTTTCAAAAGGCTAAATCCATTTACACCCTTTGGTTACTTTGGAATTGAACTCAAGACAGTAAATAAGGACATATATGAAAAGATTTGAAAAAAAAGTCAACAGTAAAAATAAATATGCAATGTTGGCTATCAATTTAGGAGACTAGGAGAATACTAGAAGTTCTGTACAGCCCAAAGGGAAACAAAGTAGGGAATAGAACAAGAGCCAAAAGGCACCTTGCACACTTCTGAAGGAATAGAGACTCTGAACAGATGTTTATTAGCAGCTATTGCATTTTCTTAAATGGACCTGAGGGTAAAAGGTGGAGAAAATGTAAAGGAAATAGCATGTGTTTAAGCTGAAAGAGTGAGCACTTTAAGGATCTCTGAAGAGATTTTGAAACAGGAGTAGTAGAGTGTGTGAGCACTAAAACCTTATCATTGATTTATCATGAGATTTCTGAAGAATCTATGGATGATTTTAAACTCTGAAGTGACAATTTCAGATGGATGTTTTGGAATGATCTTTGTGGATCAAGTGGATAATGCACCTAATTTAGGTGATGTTAAAGGCAGGAATCACTAAAGTGGGGTCAAATTTACTGAATCCTATGCTATTCGTGGTGCACAATTTTACCAAAAAGTTTGGGTGTGACAGGACAAGAGGGAAGCTAGAAAGGCCATCTAAAGTTAGAGGAAAATTTAGAATAGACAAATCTTAAAATGCGAGTATAGTGATAAATAGTAGTCCCATAGAATGAAGTAGGAGGCTGGCTCAGAAGAGCTGCAGAGACATCTAGTCTGGGACAGCAGCAGTAGCAAACTTGGGGAGTGGATGTAGGGACTTTATGGGGGTTGGATGAGGTGATGGTAAAAAAAAATTTTTTTTAGACATATAAGCTTGAAGATCTTAGCTCTCTGAAGTAGATTAGATTATCTGGTGAGTAATGTGGTCATCGTTGACTTGAATTAACAGGAAGGCCTTTCTTACAAAAGCTACACAAGTCATCATCAGCACTAGGGAACCGGGTTGACTCATTTTATAATGGAGACAATGGAAGCTACTCTTCAGGGTTTGTGTGGATTAATTGCCGCTGACAGATGTACTTTCTCACTAGTATTCGCCCTGTCATTGGGGTGATGTGCTGGCAAGGGGAGTGGACGACTTGATCACTAATAAAAACGAGCTGCAAGTCTTTTGGTAGGACTACCTACTAAGTGCAATTATTTACTTTTTGCAGTGGGTTCTAGGTCAAAGACTGAGCTAGGTCAGTCTACTTCTGCGTTTGGAGGAGAGGATCTCACTTGAGGTCACGCGCAGGATTCCGCGGTGGACCAGAAAGTCCTAGTCAGCAGAGAGCACCCGGCTCCAGCTAAGAGAAGCCAGGGCTCCAATCTTGCGGGTTGGCTCCGCCTCTTCCACAGGCTCAGGCCCCACCCCCTTCTCCTATTGGCTGGCATTGGACCACTCGGAAGACCCGGAGGAGCGGAGTTTTCCCAAAGGCAGGCTCAGTGCGCCTTCGCTGCGCATGCTCGCAAGAAGCTGGCTTCTGGGTCGGGAGTTGGAGGCTCTGGGGCGTCCGTGGCTCAGCGGCGCGCGCGCGCCCGCGGGCGGGAAGGCGCGCGCTGAGTGCGCGGCGCCGGCGTCACAGGCACGCGGCCGGCGCGCTCCCGAGGAAGGGAGGCGTGGGGTCGGCGGGGAGGGGAGGGAGGGGGGGAGGAGGGTGGCGCGCGGCCGGGGTGGGGTGGGGGGAGGGTCGGGTGTCGGCGAGCTCGGCGTGCAGCTTCCGAGCGGGTGCGAGGCGGCCTGGGCTGCCGGGGCCGACGCCTGGGTGGCTGCCGCCGCCGCCGCCGCCGCGCCGCCGCCGCGCCGACTGCGAGATGGCGATCTTGGGCGCGGAAGGGTGAGGGCGCCCGCCGCAGGAGGAGGCGCCGCCGCCGCCGCGGTGGCTGCCCGGCCCGGCCGCCCGGAGCCGACTGCTTCGCCCCGGGGTAAGGACGCGGCCGGGGGCGCGGTGCCGGCGGCCCCCCCACCCGCGGGGGCTCTGCAGGGGGGCGCTCGGGGGACGACGGGCGCCGCCGCGGCCGCCGCTCTGCAGCCCCCTCCTCCACCCCGCCGGGACCCGGAGTTCGCTGGGGTGTTGGGGTGGGGTCACGGGGCTTGCCCCGAGTTGGCCTTGTCACCGGGCCTGTGCTGGGGACGTCCGAGCGGAGCCAAGTGTTTCCGTGACTCTGCAAGCCGCGGCTCCCCGGCTTCCTCAGCCTCCTCCTCGCCCGCCTTCCACCTTTGCCTCACACCTCCGGCAAAACTGCCCGTGCCCGGGACTTTCACCCCAGTCCCTCCACCCCGAACCCGGGACCGCAGAGCACGTCTTCTCTAGACCTGTTATCTTAAAACAAACAAACAACGACAACAACAAGCACTCCTAGGGCTTCCCCGGCCCCCAGCCCCCCGCTCCCACCATCCCCACCTCCACCTTTTGTGACCCGGTAGGTTCCTGTGACCTTGCAGATTTTACCAGTGCTTCTGGGCTCGGGTGGCCCGGCGCTCCCCTCCCGTCACCTCTGAGCATTTACATTTCATTGTGTGTCCCGGGCCTCTCCAGCCTCTACCTGATCTTCATTTTTACTTAGTTATTTATTTTGTGCACTGGGGATTGTTGCAGTGTGCATCGATCCCGAGTTGCTTCCTGTGCTCCAGTAATCATCAGAGGAAGCTTTCGTTACCGAAGAGCAGGGGTAGTTAGCATTTTGGTACTTTTTACTCTTCCTGGATAAAATGCATATTTTTTTTTCTCCCAGGAGCTTTCAGTTGGTGAAGTTTTTCTCTTTTTTGAGGGCAGTGGATGTGCCAACAGATCTGAGTTTCTGCCTTCAAAAGCTACTGTTAAAAGTAGTGGAAAAAGAACCTCCAGAATTACCTCAACAACCTCCCCCCCCCCCCTCCCCTCCCACTTCCCGCCCCTGCGGTATTAATTGACCTGAAATACCTGGTTTACAGTTCTCTGCAGGTTTCTACAAGAGTTCATGCTTAGGTATAAATCCACTTTGCCAGGCTTACCAAGTCTATGCATTGTGCAAGCAAAGTGAAAATGTACTCTTTGTAAAAGAAAGGTATTCTCTTATCTCTTATGTCCTGCTTTTAGCTATAAAGCAGTTTTAGTTGTGACTGAAAATGATCATTTTTTTCATAAATGGTTAGTAAATCTTGAAAGTGTCATGGTCACATGTTGGGGGTTATGGAAACTGAGCCATGTAAAGTATGTGGTATCATTGTTTAGGATTTAACATTAGTATTTTCAAATCCTTCTTCCCATTAAATGCTGAATTGCTTATACTTAAGACACCTTGATCTTTGAAAAGCTGGAATTTAGAGTTAGGTTTTTTGGATAGAGGTGTCAGAAGATGTTGTAGATTAGGTCCCTGCCTTTAAAGAGATAGTGATCTTTTACTACTTACCCTGTCATGGTTGAAATTTCATTGACTTCTTTGCACAGTTATTAAGCAGCTATTGAATGGCTGTGTTAGGTGATTATGATGAGGATGATTATCTGTTTTAGCATCCTCCTAAATTCTGAGATGACAGGCATGAACCATCACACCAGGCTTATCTTTTAATTTGTAGACAAACTTCATAAACAATACATTCTCAGGATTCAAACTTAATAGGTAAAACTCATTGTTTGGTGAGGCTCCGTTTTGAGGGCCTCTGGTTGTGGGATCTTGGCCTTGAAGGATGACTCTGAGATTTGATGGTCAGGTAAAGGTGATGGAAGCAGAGAAGGATCTAAGAGAATACGGAGTTCATCTACTAGGGAGAGGCAAGTAATTATGTTTAGGTGGAACATTATTTGTACTTAATGTGAGTACTTTCACATGAGAAAGCTTGAAGTAAAAAAGTTGGACTAGCCAGGCTGATAACCTTGCACTATAGAAGGCAGTGAGGGTTCCACAGATGGATTTTGCATTGGAAGTTCAAAACTTTTGTCTTAGGAGGATCAATCTGGTAGCACTGTGTAGCTTGACTGGAGGTAGGGAGAGCCTGCTTGTACATAAACCTGATTGCTGTGGTCATAGGCAGCCATGGGGTTCTTGAGTCTTAGATTTCCATTGGTTTATGCGTACCCATCTTGTTTTCTATGTGCTTGAGAGCTGGTAAGTCTGAGTGATGATTTGGGTGCTCTGGAGAGCAGATAGCAGTATCTTAGCTACTCAAGAGTCTTGAGGTCTGAGATCACAATTTAAAGGTAGCCCCTGCAGGAAAAACTCCATGAGATTCTTCTGTCCAATAAGCTACCAAAAAAGCCAAAAGTGGTACTGTGGCTCAAATGGTAAAACACTAGCCTTGAGCAAAAAACAGCCCAGGGCAGTATCCAAACTCTGAGAGTTCCAAGACCAGGTGCGGATATGTGCGCGCACGTACACACACACACACACACACACACACACACACACACACACACACACACACACACACACACACACACACACACACACACGATATGTGCGTGCACGTGTATATACACACACACCCAGAAAAAGAAAAAAAAGGGAGATTGGTCCAGGAGGGAGGGAGGGAGAAAGAAAGAAAATGGTGTTCATATTCTCCTATTCAGTGAAAAGGATTAAAGTAGCTAACTTGCAACTAGTTTATTTCTAAGATAGTTTGATTAGTAAATAACTAATTTCTGCACCTGATAAGATTGGCTCCCTAGTAGTAAGCAAACAGGGCTTGTTATTACTTGGTTTTTCTTTTAGAGAAATACAGAGAGAATAATCTCTTCTTTGTTTGCTTCTTTAATTATTAGAAAGACTAGAATCTTTTAAACTTTTCATATAAGATACGACATAATTCTAACAAACAGTGGAAAACTCAATTTGCCCTTATTAGTGATGTCCAATGAGCTGGTTACTACTAATAGAAGAAAAAAATGAATTTTCTTTGCTGGCATTAAGATGAATATCTAATATTCATCTTATAGATATCTTGTAGATATTTTTCTACATTTAAGTTACATTTCATATATATTTTATCATCTGGTTCTCATGACAGTTGAGAAGTAGTGGACTAAAAGGTAATCATTGCCTTCTTCTGGGTGAATATACTGTAGCTCAGACCTGTAATCCTGGTTTCTCAAGAGTCTGAGGTCAGAGGATCATGGTTTGAATATAAACCCAGGCAAAAAATCAGTGAGACTCCATTTCCAAAATGACCATCAAAGAGATAGTCTGGAAATGTGACTCAAGTGGTAGAGTGCCAGCATATGGTTCATTTGTAGCTAAGCTTTAGACTAAGACTAAAACTTTTATTTTTGTACTAATTTTTAAACATTTAATTCTTTTTGTGTGTGTGTGTCCATCCTGGGGCATGAACCTATGTTCAAGGCTAGCGTTGCCACTTGAGCCATAGCTCTGCTTCTAGTTTTTTTTGGAAGTTAATTGGAGATAAGAATCTCCTGTCTGTGCTGGCTGAATTTTGTTTAGTATTCTCACTAAACTTTTTTTTAACCTGAAACTACTTGTAATAATATATGAAGACTTTGAATTTTCCTGATTAACTTCTGTACTGTGTTGATATAAAAAGTTCTATTGTTAAGTACATTGGTATTAGTTCCTTTTGAAAATTTGTTGCTTTTAATTCTAAGGTGAAGTTTTGTTATCTTTGATGATTATGTGTATGTAATGATACTTCATAGTTTTCGTCATTACATATCTAACTGAACGATTAAAAAAGATAAGCCCCTATAAAAGTCCTTACAAATTAGCTTTTATTTATTTATTTGTTGCTGTTGAGGCTTGAACTCAGAGCCTTGGGTTTGCTTGCTCATGGCTGGTATTCTACCATTTGAGCCATGACTCCAGCCTGTGTTTGTGTGTGGGTATGTGTATGTGCACACAGGCACACATGCTTGTCCTGGGACGTGAACTCAGGGCCTAAGCTCTGTCCCTGAATTTTTTTTTTCTTTCCTATGACTAGTACTCTACACAAGCCATAACTCAGGTGATTGAGAGTCTTACTGACTTTCTTGCCTTGGCTGGCAAGGATTACAGACATGAGCTACCAAAGTAGCCCTGCTTTTCTCTGGCCAATTGGATATTAGAGTCTTATACACCTTTCTGGTGGCTTTCAACTCCTGTACTCTAGATCCCAGACTCTTGAGTAGCTAAGATTACAGACATAAGCTGCCAGTGCCCACAAATTAGTGTTTTAACTTCTTTTATGTATGAATTTTTTTATACAGAACCGTTTGTCAGATAGTTTCTAATTTATAGTAAAACTAGCATTTGTTGATTTAGTCTTGACATTTCTTAAACTTGCTATTTATTCACAACACCCACTGGTAGAGTAACCACATGCCATACATTCTACTGGGTGCTTGGTACGATTTTGAGATGACAAACAGAAAGCTTGTTCTCTTAGAACTTGGAAGGTAGTAGTTTAATTGACATCAATTAGTAAGAAAATTCACTTGTCTTCTGAGGTTGTAGGAATTTGGAGATGCATAATTAGCTATGTATCCCCCTTTTTTCTGGTATTTTGAACAAATTCTGCAGAAACACAAGAAACCTGCATTATTTCAAGCCTCTTTTGCTCTGTTAAAACTGTTTTATTTGTTTATAGTTTTGTTCGCCTGGGTTGGACTCAGTTGGTCAGCAGGATTTGCTGGTATCACTGTAATGACTACTTTCAGCCGGCAGTTAGCTGAGGGATGAACACACACACCCTACATTCTTCATGCAGTCTTGTGGTCTAGCCCTGCCTCTCCAGGTGGCCTTTGTAGGAGCCTTTGCCAGCCTTATCGGCAGCTTATGGCATTCAAGAGTGCAAAATTAGAAGCAAACAGGTCTTCTGAAGCTATATCAACTTAGGCCTGGGACTGGCAGAGTTTCAATCACTTCTGCCTCCTTCTGTTGGTTAAAGCAAATCACAGGTTTAGCTCAGATTTCAGGAGAGGGAACTGAAGAACTTGAATCCATTTGGGGCCACCATC